TACTTTAATTTTAGCAAAAAAATTTCTATAACATGTTTAACAAAGTAAAAAATATTAAATTTCCTCCTAAAATAATTTTTGAATAGGCCTAAAGGGAATACCTCATTAAGAGGCTTCAACCTTATACCCAATACATTTTACTATATTCTCTTTTTGAATTTTCCTGATTTTAATAATAACATTTTTAGATATAGTTTTCTATAGTTTTCACTGATTCTGAAGTAATATTTCTTCTGAAAAACACTTATCGTGCCCGGCGTAGCCGGGTACTTCTACCGGAATCAGTGGCCTACTTATGATGATGGCCCTTCGAGCCTTACGCGCCGAAGGCGCGTAAGGCTCGAAGGGCCCCGGGTCTGGGGCGGAGCCCCAGCTAGGCGGAGCCTAGTATTATTTAAAATTAACATTTTTAATTTTAAATTATAATTTTTACATGGTAAATTGAAAATCTAAATTTAGAATCCAATTTTTTCATAATTTAATAAAATGTCATTTATACTTCTTGTATTTTAAGCGCGTCATTTATAAAATAAAAAAACAATTTTGAATTAAGACAACCAATCTTTCTTCTCTTTATATAGTCTTGTTATGAATTTTTAAATATATCATTATTTTTTATTGATAAGGGTGTTACTGAAAAAGTTGTATATAAAGTAAATGAAGAAAATCCAAGTACGACAGTTGCAGAAAGATCAGTTTGGATAGAATCCAATGTGTTTGGTATGTCAAAAGCAATTCAAGCATTTGGTTTACAAAGGTTTAAAATAAATAGTGCTAGAGCAGTCAAAGGGTTTACTCATGTCCTCAACAGTCTTTATGGAACAAATGTTGCTAATTCATCAGTTGGTGGAATAATGCAACAAAAAGGAAAACTTAAAGAAGCTTTAAAGAAAACAAATTATAAAAATGGACCACTTATTGTGCAGTAAGTTTTTAATGACTTAAATAAATGTTTCTTTAATTACTAAGATTTTTCTGATTTTCCAGTATTTGTATAAGCTATTCTGTGTGTTCTTAGGATACAATATGTTGTATAAATTATGTTTTAGAATAGGGTGATTAACAGGGATTTCATGCATTTATAAAATTTGTTTTGACCACTTTTGAGGCATCAAATTCCAGGAAAATGTATCATAAATAAAATTGAATTCAATAACAAATGTTTTACGGTGTGGTGATAAAGTGTAATTCAAATTTTAACGAAAACTTTATAGTATTTTTTTAATAAACTTAAATGTGTAAAACTTTTTTAAATTAATTACTTTTATACTTGTCTATTTAATTAAAAAAATAATGTGTGACTTTTTTTATTTCAGGTGATTATCTAAATTATAACAACATATTTTTGTATTGTATACAACTACTGCCACCAGACTTTAGAATAATATAATCATACATATATTATTTGATAGTATAAAATTTCTTATATATTAATATTAGTTATTAAACAATTTTTTTTTACACATATTTTTGTTTTCTTTTATAAATTATGTAAATAACATTAGAGAAAATGGAGTCTATTAAAATATGAAATTATTAAATTTGTTTAAAAAATATTTTACAATTATTCTAAAAGCTTTTTTTGGTAAATTGACAATCCTAGAAATATATGACTAATTTCATATAAATACCTAGTTTTGGAGCTAAGAAGGTGATCTTCAACATGGATTTAATATGTGTAACTAAACCAATTATCACATAGCAATCTAACAATTATATAAATTATTTTATATTTTTGTATAATAAAATCGGTCTTTTGGATAAGAAAAAACAGCAACTTTTTTAAATAGTTTTAAACTAGATTTTTATCAACATGAATGTTTATTGGTTAGATTTTGTTCTAATGGTTCTGATCCATTTTGGATGTTTAAGCCAATAAACCAGAAGGTTGATTAAATATCAGCCAACTATAGTTAAACTAGTGTTTTACTAAGGAAAGAGTTGAGTGCTGTGTTTTTGTGTTTCTATACTTAGACTAATTACATTTAAGAAATTAAATAAATAATAATTTACAGAGTGATCTGTTTATCATTAACCAGTCGATTACTTGCAAGATAAACACAATATTGGAAAATAGCGTTAATGACTATACTGAGTAAAATAATTGTTTCCTAGTGGTCGTTCGACTACGCCTAGGAATTCTATCATTGGTGAACCACTCTGCCCTAGTTTTATATAAAACAGGTTACTCGACGAAACGTATTTAGTGAAATCAGTGTCGCAGGTAATTCTAGTGTAAGTTATACATCTAACTTTTCTAACGAGAATTTATTGAAATATTCGGTTATCCTCTTACTGCAATACATGATAAGATAATTCCTTAGTACATATTTACGGTGTTGTTATTAATGATATATGAAAAATTGGCTTCCTTTTATAGGCGCTTAAATAATATTATTTCATACACAGATAAAAAACCCTAACTACACAACTGGTTAATGGAATATTTTTATATTAATTTGATCTACTTGACTAATGATAAGCCATCTATCAAACAACGAATGAAACTAGTCTTTATTGTTCAACTTTAGCACTTATTTAAATTTATTAAGCCAAATATCTTGTATTTAATTCATTATTTCTTCAATAATTTTATACTGTATTGTTACGCCAGTTTAATTACTATTTTATATTTCTGTACATTTAAAAGGAATAATTTTAATTGAATATTTGAGCCAGTAACCTACAAACTATAAACATTTCTTATGCATTTCATTTTATATTATTTTAATTGAAAAATATTTTCTTTAGTATTACCTTATTAAACAATAACTTATTATTATAATTACCAATTTTGATATTTTTTTTTGGTTTGTTATCCATGGATGTTGACGCATTTTTATGTTAATATATAACAAAAAAAAAACAACTATCAATGTAGTTTTATGAAACTTAATATATACGATTGTATTGGAAATTTCATTTTCAAATAATTAATATTTTATGTATAATAATTGCAATAAACTTATAATTAAAAATGTTATAATTTATTTTTTTTTAGGTAAAAATTTGCTTGGTAATGCTAGACTTTTTTTTTCTTCAAACAAATCTGAACTTGATTTGTTATAATTTTAAAACACACAATTTAATTACTTCTTATAGCTATAATTAAACTTAATATATCTACTGATTTTTATTAAATTCTACAAATTAGATCAGTTTAGGTTTATTTATTTTTACTTACAGGTATATAACATTCCTGTAAATACAGGGAAAATTTTTGTGTAATTTCTTCCAAAATTTCGAAAAAGTTGGATATTTTTATTTAAGAGCTTTTAACTTACTATTTCCTTTGTTTAATCATCTTTATTTTAACTTAAAATAATTGTAAACAACAATTAATATTTCATTAAACTTTTATCGGCCTCTTTTTGACAAGGTATAAAAATGTTAATCTAAATATAGTCATAACTAGTATCTCATCTACAGTATTATTTGTATATATTTTAAATAATAATAACTCCCGAAATACTGGTTCAAAAATTGGGTTAGGCATTTTCTTAATTTGATAATTTTCTATTTTATGAGCTAGTTAAATATGTATGTAGTTATTAAATCAAATATAGTTAATTACAATGAAACTAAAAAATCCAAAAAAAATGTTGATATTATTTTTATTTTGTAAATAATTAAATGGTTGGTATCACTTTTAATATAAAAGCTACATAATAACATTATATAGTAGTATAATAGTATTTTCTATTTCATAAAAGGTAACTCGAATAATAAGATTTTTTTGTTTAAAACGTATTTACTATTAAATACCAATATTATTAAGTTAACCTAGAATAAAATATAAAAATGTATATCTTTTTTAAAAAATAATAGTTTTTATTCTTAATAAATAGCCCTAATTTTGTCAATGAAACCTTTATTAAGTGACTGTTTTGAATACAAATCCTTAAAGCATTATTATTAGTTAAAAATAAATATATTTTGCGAGTTTGTTTAATTTTAATTTTTTAATACATTTAAGTATTATTTTATTAAATGCATATCATTTTAAACTTTTCAAATGCACATAATTTTGTCTGACGGCAAACATTATTATCAATAAATTATTTTTCAAATTTGATTTGAAATTTCTATCATTGTATCAAGACGTGGAGATGTACAATGACCACCGACCGATTGACATATTGATAGGTGGACGGTTGATATCGAGAGAGACGCGAGTGAACGATCGCCTAAAACAGGACGGAGTGCCTGCCGTGTCAAACACTAAAATTTTATTATATTAATATGATCAAATATTATGAGATATTACACTATAATATGTTATATTATCAAATTTCAGTAGTTTCCTAAACTTATAAAATCAATGATTAATTATTAACATATAATTAATAATTCAATATACAAATTAATATATACTGATATTTATTTAGCAATTTTTTTTATATTTAATAATACGTATTCTAAATATTGTGTAACGTTTGGTCCCTTAGTATGGGTTTATTGATTACCCACTGCCAGGGGAATACTAAACAGCGAACTACTAACTGAGCCAAGCAAGAGAAAACAATTTTAGGTTTTAAAATTACTAGATCTAGTTTAAAATTACTACAAAAAACAGAAGGCTCGCTTGAAATGTTTACGGATTTATCCACGTTTTCAATTAAGATCTGACGTTTTGGTCTCGTTGCAGAGTCCATCTTCAGAGTGCGATAGTTACACGCTCGTGGTTGTAACTATACTGATATTTATATAAAAGAACGTGCCTTATTATTAAATTAAAAAGACAGAAAAAATGATAAAGGAGGTCTTTGGGGTTACTTTTGGTTGATCAATTTTCTCCAGAACTGCTGGCCCACCAACTGCCATATTTAGGGCTCACACCATCATAGCTTAACGTTTTATTTAAAAAAAAAGACTATCAATCGGGTTGATCCATCCAAGTATGGTAGATGATGATAGCAGACCATCTCGTTTGATTAATAAAAAAAAACAAAACAAAATTAGCAACAAAAATAAAAGCCAGAAACGTGAATCTTTTACCATTGAAAAACATGGACAACAAAAGTATGTCTTTTCACCTCGGTAGTCTTTTTTCTTTTCACACTGTCGACAAAATGTCGGCCGCCCTGGAACTACCGTTAGGTATTAGTTCAGGGCAGAAATTCCTTGCCATACGCGAGTGGGAACCTTGTACCCTAAGCGCATAACACACAAGTTTTACCGACTCGGCAACCGTACGTCGCTCACCTCGGTAATCTAGTGGAAAAAAAAAGTTCACGTACAGTCATGTAACGGCCGGTGGTGGTAAATTTTTTTTTTTTAAGTCGAAAAAATAATTTTTTTTTTAATTAATTATTAATTTTAACATTTGAATCCGCTTAAATTGCCATTTATATCAAAAAATGAATGCGACTGAGTGATTTTAATGATTGTCAGATATCATCTATACTAGTCCCAACTATGTCCTTCTCACACTGTGCCGCAACCCCACTGTGCTTAGGGGCGGACTTAGGTATGTGGTGGCCCCTGGGCGGCATATATTGTGGGGGCCCCTTATACATAAACCAGGAAATATATTTTTTTACTTATTAAATAACAATTATTATCATATTTAGTAGTAGTACCAATTAAGTATTAACTATTTATTTAATAAAAAATAACTATAAAAACAATCAAATTANTAATAATAAATACCTATAAAAACAATCAAATTAGTATAAGTTATTTTATTTTAATATTAAGTGTAAGAAATTAAAAAAAAAATTATAAAAATAATAATGTCAAATAATTAAAATTAAATGTCTGGAACTTTTCTTTATTTCATTTGTACAAAATTATCAATAATGTTTTGAAAATCAAGTTTTCTTAAAATATCAGACTCCGAACTCATTATGGCTAGTTGATTGAGCCTGTCTCTGTCCATAGAAGTACGCAATCTATTTTTTATATGTTTCAAATTAGAGAATGATCTTTCACTACTGCTGTTTGTAATCATTAAAACAAGATAAATACGAAGAACTATTTCAACATTAGGAAAACAATCTTTTACTTCTTTATTAATTAATATTTTATACATTAAATGTTCTTGACTAATATTGTGAAATTCACTGTTTTCATCTTTAAAATGTTTATAAAATTCTTTAAATTGAATAAGTTCGTTTCCAAAGTGTTCATCGATGTCATCTTGATAAATTTTAACAAGTTTATTTGCTTCATCTTCAATTTCTTGATTACTTAGTTGTTCTATTTTTCGAAGATAGCCAAATCGTTGGTATACCAATTCATAAGCAGACACTCGTTTATCCAAGTTAGAAATAAAAGTATCAATAACAGGTAAAAAATTTTGAATTTTCGAGAAGAAATTAAATCTAGCCCGGGTGTTTCATGAGAATCTATTGGATTTAGACGGATATTTCTTTGCCGTTTACGATGTTTCAAATAATCTGTTGTTACCGAAATGTCTGCTCCTTGTTTTTCATATTGATCAAAAGTATCACGTTTAGCTTGAA